CGCCTTCACTTAGGGCGGGCACCTCCGCCTTCACTTAGGGCGGGTAAGGCTGCAGACAGGGCCCCATAGGCCTACCGAGGACCCTGATCCTCACATTCCCTCCTCCTTAACTTCGCGAGTCCTCTGAGAAGTCTTCTTATTCTGCAGGCATCTTCCCTTTGAGTGCTCTTTCATAGCCTGTGATTACTTGAGGTGCTGTTCTCACGAGTTCTTCTCGTGTGAACCACCGGTCTTCTTTAGGATTCAGATGACGTCTGAAGCTCACACGATACTGCATTCTTGGTTTAGGAGGTCGCCCTCTGCCTGATGGTTGAGGAACAGGCATCACTCGATGCTCGATGATCTGGTCAATGTCCACTTCACCATCCATGGTTGGGGGCAGCATTGATCTCCGAGAGGGAAACTGGTCTGTGGCAGAAAAAGGTGCCAGCTTTGATGCATGGAAAACAGGATAAGTCCGCAAGTGTGCAGGGGTGCGAATCACGTATGAAGGCCCATCCGGTTGATCCCCTACAATATCTAAGATCTCCCAGTGCCCAAAGTACTGAGGCATCAGTTTTCTTGAGATCCCTATCTCCTGTCCCAGTTCAGATGATTTCACCCAGACTCTCTCACCTACCTGAAAGTTAGAAGGCCGTCTATGTTTGTTCTCAGATGCAATCATAGCATCTTGAGACTTCTGAATATGTTCAACGGCCTGCTGCAACATCTGCTCATACTTGACAGCAAACTCTATGCTGCCAGGTGTTGCAGTGGGTTGTCTTTCTGGTAGCAGAAAGTCAAGCGCAAATTTGGGCTTCCAACCAAGATGTAGCTGGTTGGGAGTCATACCGGTGGTACTGTGCACAGCATTGTTGTACAGGCTGGCGACGAGAGGTAACTTCTCGTCCCAGTCATCCTGACTTGGCTTAATATAATGCCTAAGCAGGTGCTGCACTACCCGGTTCATCTGTTCTGCCTGGCCATTTGACTGAGGGTGATTCCCTGACGTCATTTGGAGCTTTGTGCCCATTTGCTCAGCAACAGACTGCCACGGTTCACTTGTAAACCTAACATCCCTATCACTAACAATAGATGTAGGTAGACCGAAGTCCCTTACCCAATTGTCCATGAATAGTTTGATGACAAAGTCGGTCTTAGCAGTTCCTGGCATAGCGATTAGTCTTGCGTACTTGGTAAAGCGGTCCACTATCACGAAGATATGCCTCTGTCCAGACTTACTGGTCACAAGGGTATCCATGAAGTCCATGGACACACTTTGACCAGGACCTTCAGGAATCGGCAAGGGCTTGATGAGCCCAAGCGGAGCCTGAGTCCTAGGTTTGTCCCTTTGACAAACCTGACAAGTTTCAACATACCTCTTTGTATCTTGCATATAGTGGGCCACCAAAATCTCTGCACAAGGTTAGCTGAGGTCGTTTAAAACCCAAAATGACCAGTTGCATCGTGACATTCTCCTAGAAATAAACTACGCAACGACTCACTACTAGGAACACACAACCTTTTATTCCCTGCCTTCTCAAGGAACAGCAAGCCGTCTACCATCGTAAATTCGTCCAAAGTCTTTTTATCCTTTGCCTTGAATCTACGAATGATTTCTGACATGACTGAGTCTCCCTGATAGGCTTCCACCAGCGATCGAGTGAGTTCGTCAGATATGCCAAACTCGGTAACCAGCGCGCCCAGATAATTTGCCCTTCTTGATAGCGCATCAGCCACCTTGTTGTACGTACGCTTGATAGGATCAAGTTGATAGTCATACATGTCTGTCACTTGAATCCATCTCTTGAGTGCGTCTGACAACACAGGCTGTGTCTTAATCCAACGCAAAGTCTCATGGCCAGACCTCACATAGAAGAATCTTCCTAGGAGGTAATGTCTCCAATGAATTAGCGCTCTGTAGAGGGCGTAGAGCTCTCTCTCATAAGTGGACTTAGCTAACTTTTGAGATGGCATCTTCTTGCTCATATACTCGATCGGTCTCAACTTGGGCCCTGCCTGTTGCGCTAAGACCTCGCCTATGCCGTATTGGCTGGCGTCTGTGGTCACAACAAACGGCTTGTCAAGATCAGGAAGTTTGAGAACTTCATAGTGTGTTAGAGCATACTTCAATTTCTTGAAGCTTGCCTCACACTCTTCAGTCTACTCCCAAGGGGTGTCAAGTCGAGTTAGATCTGTTAATGGGGAAGCTATAGTACTATAGTTCTTTACAAACGGACGATAATAGTCCGTCATCCCCAAAAACGATCTGACCTCAGTAACAGTCTGAGGTCTGGGCCAGTCACGTGTGCTGACCACCTTTACATCTTCCTGCCTCAATCCATCTGCTGAAATTTCATGACCCAAGTACAAGATCTTGGTGCGACCAAACTCGCATTTATCCAAGTTTACCTTGTACTGGTGCTGTCTTAGGAGRCCTAGCAYKWTTTTCAAGTGCTCARCGTGCTCCTCTACAATCCTACTAAAGATGAGAATATCGTCGAGGTACACGACGATAAACTTGTCCAAGTAGTCATGAAAGATCCTATTCATCGCGTGCTGGAACGTACCAGGTGCATTGCATAGGCCAAAAGGCATCACCACAAACTCGTACAGACCGTACCTGGTCTGAAATGCGGTTTTGTGTTGTTTTTTTGGTCTAACGACAATTTGATGGTATCCGGACTTCAGATTTATCTTTGCGAAATGGACCTCCCTTCTTTGGGACAAATAACACTGGCGCACCGTACGGGGAGGTACTAGGTCGTATCCATCCCTTCTCTGTGAGCTCCTTGAGCTGGCGGCGAAGCTCATCTAACTCCGCAGGAGACATCCTATAGATTCGTCCTCTAGGCACCTTGCTACCTGGGACAACCTCTATCGCATGGACAACCTCCCTTTCGACCACGTCTGTGGGCTCCTAAAAAAGGTCTGAATATTGAGCGACGACTTTTTTTATCTCTGGGGGTGTTTTAACGGCCTCCCCTTTCTCCGAGACAAAAACTAGATACATGCCTTCCTCGCGATTCTGCTTATAATAGTTATAGAAGGATGATGCACACATGCACCCGTAGTTTTCTATTAGACTGCTAGCTTTGAACTTTTGCAATCTAACAGATCTACCGTTGGGCAACTTGTGAATCAATACCTTTCTATCCCAGTCAAACTGCGGTTGCGCAACCTCAAGGTAGTACATACCTAGGAGCATGTCAAATGGCAGTTCGTCGCTAACCAGGAAGGAGATTTTGTGACTCACTTCCCCTCCTCCATAGGAGAAGG